AACGCGCCAAACCTGCTACCTATCTGCCTGGACATCAGCGAATTTGACCAAACTTTGAAAAGTTGTAAATATATATGAGGTATGTACTGTACTTCAATATTTATCAAATTTAGTGACTCGTATTGTATATACAGAGAGTATTAGGCCGGCCGGTCTGGTTTTACAGCTTATACCCGTATCTTTCACAAAATTTAATATTAACCAATTTTAAAAAACAAAAATGATTTTAAATCAGAACATCATGGCCTACTTTATTTTTTATATCATTAAAAAATATAAACAAAAGGTTTGGCCAAAAAATAAAAATAGATTTTTTGTTTAAAAAGACCATTTTTTAATTATTTTGTAATATTTTAAGTTTAAATCATCCAGTCAATTTCTACATAACCTAGAATGGAATTAAATAAGCTATAACCCCCACAAAGGTTAAAGTGTGTTATGGTACGTACTTGACGTATTTGCTTACCTATATTAAGTTCGGGAATATCTTATTTTAGTTTTTTAATATTTTGTATGTTTGTTTTAATTAATTAACCAGAATGAGCTTTAAATAAACCAAAAAATAGTAATTCTTAGATCAATACAGTTTTATTATTGCAATTCCATGGGTAAAAAATATATTTTGCGATCGGTAGGGTACCATATAGTATAAGTATTGGTATAATTATGAAGAACGTATAGCTGAACCCATCAGCGTCATCATACACTCGTATTCCAGAGTTATTTTTCCCTCTTTCAGTTCTCCTACTTATCTCGCAACTTCACAGCATTACCTATGTATGATGAATACGAAGTTTACCACGGCTGGTACATTTCCCTTGGGACGACAGTGTCGATGGTTAAGACCCCTTCGGGAATTTTGTCGCCGGGCCGGGTTATATGCCCGATTAGGCTAGTGGAGGTTGGAACAAGGAGGGAAAACATTTTGGTTTTCAGGCGACGATGGATTGACCTAAAACTAAGTACAATCCGGAATCCCCCTCAACCAGGGCATTTAGTAACACCCAAATTCAATTGGGGTTCATGAATTGGGATTGATTGTTTTCGAATTACGTAAAGAGCAATGTATAAATATTTCTTTTTATGGTAACCTATTATTATTATTATAAGGGTCGGTTTTTTAATCGGTTGTCGGGTTTCACTTTATCTGACAATAATTTCTATATTAATTATTGTACTAGTTTTTTTTTCATCTTTTGACAAAAAACTACTCAAATTTTTATTCAAACGGTGCAAAAATAAAGTTAGTTCTTTTTTGTTTTGTTTGAAATAAATATTTTATTAGTCCTAATTTTTTATATTTTATTTATTTATTGTTCTTTTCCTTTAAAATACGTTTTATTTTTATTTATTTTACATAACAATGCATAACGGCTCTAATATTAATTTAAATTTAATATGAATAGAATTGATTAATGAATAAATCAAATAAAAAACCACTTTGCTTTATACGGGCGCCAATTGCAGAATGGAAATGGAAAAGCAACAAAACAAACCAATGTGTTACATTCCATTTTAATTATATTTTCCCTTTTGGGTCAATGATTTTCCATTAAGTTCGTTTCATTTTTTTTTGCTGGCTTTAAATATAACAAAGCTTATACTACCTACATAATTATCTCATGCTTACCAGTTCAGAATAATAAGCACAAAAGTTTTAATAATATTTCCGTCTCTAGAAAATCAAATATAATTACCTAGAAAACTTTTGTATAGAAAAATCCCGGCAGCCTTACATAATTTTTCTTAACCATTATTAAAACTTTATTTACGACTTGGATATTTCGTAATACATTTTGAAATTTCGTTCAGATCGCGTTCGAACCCCAATTATAAGTTTATCCTTTTTTATATTTGAAAATCACTGAGTGAGGACATAAATGCGATAATAAAATGTTTATATTCAAGAGGTCTATATACAATGTATATTATACATGTAACTTTAATATCGTTAACACTCGACACTGAAGTGATTGATTATGGCAAAGGCACATAAAAATCACGAGTAAACAAATACAAACTTTTATGAGGCTAGTAATTGGTTGCCAGGCATAAGTCGTTACCAAATTCACGAAGTGGCGTATATGAAGATTTAAGTTATGCAAAAAAGCAATTTTTTGAAATAAAAGTTTAGCATACTAAACACTTATTCCAGAAATTTTTTTGCATAACACAAATCTTCCGATACGGGTGTTTAAAGTTTTGTGTTATGCAAAAAAAAACAATTTTCTGGAATAAACGTTTAAAATGCTAAACGTTTATTTCAGAAAATTGCTTTTTTGTATAACTTAAATCTTCATATACGCCACTTCGTGAATTTGGGGACGAAGTGATTGGCCGATTTAATTATACACTGTGATTTGGACCAATTGTATTTTAAATTAGTAAAAACTTTCTCGCCCCACGTATCCAATAATAATAAAATCTGTCAGACGGTTCTAACCTTACTATCTACTTTTAATAATTGTACGTTTTACTTGGGAGTTTAGTGTTGTCTGTCGAATCGACAGGTTGCTTAATGAAACAGTCCTAAAATATAAATGACTTCCTTCCTTGACAGGACAATATAAAACACCCAGCACAAAAATATGCTGGTTAGTACCAAAAAATAAATAATCTACAATAGACTGATTAATTTAGAAATAATTTCCACAATGGATGGTTTAAATAATAAAAGAAATTCTGTTTATAAAGCCATTTGCCAAGGTTGAAATAAAACTATTGGAATAAAAGTATATGGATGATTGTTACAAAATGTATCTAGGAATATGGTGAAAATTAAATAGATAAATCAAGATAAAATATTTAAAGAATATAAAATATTAAAATAAGATTACATAAGATTTTTGTTGGGCTAGTAAGGTAAATAACTATTGCATACATAGCAACGAATGTAAAAGACTTTAACGTTCTGTAGAAAAAAAACTGTTGTTTTGACACTTAAAATAAAATAATAATAATAATAATAATAATAAAAGTCAAATCTGACTATTACATTACATTTATTAAGTGTCAAAACAACAGTTTTTGTCTTCTACGTTCGTTGCTATGTACGCAATAGTTAATTTCCTAACTAGTGCGGAAAATATTAATTTTTCGCAAGCGATTGCCTTTGAACGAACGGCAAGGGAATCTTGAAATTTTCTTTATTTATAAAATACTAAATAACCGGTAAAATTTGTCAATTTCATGGGCTAATTAAATTTGTCCCTTTTAAAAACTTGCATTTAAATTTTTCTACTCCATCCTTTAAAACGCCCTTTATCGTACATGTTTCCATGACACTAAGTGACTTTTTAAATACAAATTGAGTTTAGTTTAGTTTAGTTTTAAGTTAGTTGACAGTTGTCACATGTCATACAATCGTTAAAATAAAGTGCCTTTCTTGTAAAATAATACTAAATGTGAAAATTATTTTATTATCTCAATACAAAAATACAAAAGTATTAAATAGTTTCTCAACGCCAATATTTGAAAAGTTTATATGAACATTGTACTGACCTTTTAATTTCGTCGGCAGTAAACTATAACTTAAACTCGGGCACGGACTCCACTGTAAAGTGCTTATAAAGCATTTTCTTTACTTTAACTGTGAAAAACTGTCAATTTTCAAGAAATACATTTCGATTTATAACCTTTATAATCTGTGTTTATAAAATATAAAAAATTGACATTTGACGGCGACACACAGATTCGCCTATTGTTTTATAGATGGCGCTCTATACAAATTTTTTATTTAAATCATTTTAAGATACTAATAAGTATTTGTCGTAGAAAAAGTATAGTATGCATCTCGTTTATAAACTTTTCTATACACTCATTAATTTAAGCACTCGCTCGCAAGCTCGCTCATGCCTTAATTAAATTCGTGTATAAAATGGCGTTTATCAAACTTCACAGTAAGAAAATATTACAGAATATTACGTTGGCCACAGAATAGCCAACGTTTTATTCTGTAAAATATTTACCTTTTACAGAATATATTCGGTAAAATCACTCAATAACCGTAATAATTTATGCGTTCATTTGAAACACCAAATTTTTTATGTAAATATTACATATTTTTATCCGTAATTTTACCATCATTTCTTACTGTGTTGATATATAATATACTATTTTGCCTATTAAAAGTGTCATTTTAGAATTCTTTTTTAATTAATAAATTGTTATATCCAATAAGTTTAGTGTTTTTATCTAATTCATAATTTCGTTTTAGATTCTGCTTGCGTAGAAAATGTATTTTCTGTATCTCTTATTCATATATTAATTCGTTTATTTTTAGTAAATTAAGTAAAACTGTTTGGTTTAAATATTAATTAGCTTCAGGCTAAATTTACCGAGACTAAACTAACTTTTTGATAAAAACAAACAAGCTAAAGGGGTTCAATTTAATTTTAATTTATGTTTTCTATTAAACTTTCTAAATTTATACATTGTATTATAAAATTTTACCCAGAAACATATGCTAGCCACTAAAATATTTCCTATTTTTATATTAAATTCTAGCGTGTGGGCAAGTGGTAAAAAATATTGTTAAACTTGTATAAACAAGTTTTTTAAAACTAATATAATTAACAGCTTTACCATTTTTTTATATATATTATTCATTATAAATTATATATTATAATTCACCTCATAAGTTGAAGTTTTCATAAAAAATCCAGACTGTAATTATAAGCCTTTATAATACTAAAATATTAATATAGTAATAATAATAACACGGTAATCATGAGGAAAAAAATACTTAAAATTTGTATACATATAATTAAATAAATATATATATAATTAAAAAGAGTATCTACTTTATAAAATTCTTTGTTCGTGACTATATATGTATATAAAACCAAATATTTTTCTTTTCCGGCAACATCAAGTTTCATATACAGATGATAAAAAATATATAGAAGTATTTAAACTTTGATTGTTTTCTTCGAAAAATAAAAGCCTGGGGCTGTGTGGTCTCCTTGTAAACATTTAAACAGTGTTTTGTTTTGTTTCAGAGGAAATCCGTCTGTATTTCGGAGAAGGGATAGCTCTTTATTTTCAATTTCTCGCTTTCTACACGAAAGCTCTGCTGATTCCTGTCTTCCTAGGGTTGCTGCAAATATTTGTATCAATCGAAACTGTCCCCTTTTTTTGCGTATTCAACGTCGTGTGGGTGACTCTGCTTCTGGAAGTAAGTATAAACTAACCAAGTCCATAAAATACTTTAAATTGACAGTGAAAAACCGGTGGATAAACATTCGAAATAAGGTCCTGCGTTTGGGGATGGGAACACGCCTAAAAGCGATCTATTATAAAAAGTTTTAAAATGTGTGACATTTCAGGAAAACGAGTTGAAGTTGTTTCTCAAGCAGGAGTAATGAACTTTTTCCTGAGCTGTCAACAACAAATTCCTATTATTGCTATTTATAAAAAAGAATGATACTAAACATTTTATGGTAAAATATATTTTAAATTGGGAAAAATACTATAAAAGTATGATAATAATTTAATAAAATTTAATTAAACTAATTAAAAAGTATCCCAATTAAACCTTTTTTATATCCTTTATTTATTAACGATTATCTTTTTTTTTAATTTTTTTTTGCAATATATTGTATTATTATTATTCGATATTATTACAAAAGAGCTTTTTTAGCCCGATACATTTTTTCTACAAGAAGAAATGTCACTGATGAAAATCTGTTTTGTCTGGCAACAAGGTTTCAATTCTTTATAATCCATTCTTTTTACATTTCTAGCACCACGTGCATCTTTAAACACAATATTGTAAAATGTAACTCTTTTACCTAAATCTTTTAATTTATTCACATTCTGAAAAAAACGTTCTGTAAAAACAGTTTACACAAGACGAAATAATAACATACCAATTCCAAAAATGAATAAAACAATTGGACAACGAAGTTTTATGTATCTAGGTCCCAAAGTCTACAACGAAATACCTGAAAACTTGGATCTTTTAAAAAAATGTGCAGAAACCATATAATGCAGCAACCAAGGCAATTCACAAATAATCAGATTGATTTAAAAAAAATGCTATTCTTAGTTAGGTTTTAATTATACTAAATTTTAACTATACTTTACTTACCTCATGTGCGTAAATTCTCAACTAGTACAACAGATTTTATACGCTTTTATCTATTGATTTTTGTATATTTGTAATTATATGTAGATATCTTTGGTCTAGCCTACTTAAATGAATAAAAGTAATATATAATAACAGTGGCGGCTCGTCGTATAAAGCAACTGAGGCCGGGCCTCACATGTTAAAATTATAATATAATTTGAAATTTTCGATACATTACTTATTTAAATTTAAAACCTTTTAAAACTAATTTCCAGTCATTAAAAGTATCAAAACATAGAATAACCATCAAAGTTTGAAATATTTCCTTTAAATTTAGCGCGCACCCCTTCTAACTTTAATTCTAAACGCTTAAATCATTGCCTCACCGCATAATAGGAAAATAGTAATCCAATAAATTTGCGCTTCATATACGTCACACATTGCCGATACAACATCATGCTCCCCACCGCTGGGCGGGGATAATACGCAAATTTTTGTAGACATTGAGGCCCACAAAGTTGAGCTTGTACCACAGTATGTGGAAGACAGCAGAGTCAGTCCCGAGATCTGTGCGGCTCGCTTATCAGCCGTTGTAAAAGACTGGGCGGGCGTGAAATGTTTTAGTAAACAAAGCTTATTAATTATTAGATCTATGCGTGTTTATAGTTTCTTATTTCTGTTTAGTCTTTGCCTTAGCGTTAAAATGGAAAGTTGTGATAAAAATGCAAGCGTAAAATACATTATTGTGATGTGAATTCATGTAAAAATAATTCAAATAATTATAAAAGTTCATTTTTATTTTAATATATTATTATTATTAACACACAAATACCACAGTAAAAATCACAAAAAATATAAATAAAAATATTCATGTTTTTTTATAGTTCAGTGTTAAATCGTTGAGTTTCATATACCTACTGTGCTGTACATTATTATTTTGTTGTTGTGCGGTTGTGCCTTTATTAATCTAAAAATAATTACTGTAAAATAGTTAAAAATAAGCAGTACCTCCTGGGTAATGTGGAAACTTGCTGAAGGAATAAATAAAAATCCCACCTCGTCCCGCACTTTTTGTATTATTCTAGCTAAATTTTGAAAATTCTCCTCCTGAAAGAACATATTTTTAAATAATATATTTTTATTATTTAGATTCTGAAGTGCTTCAAAAACGCGAGACAAAATTTATACAAATGATAATTTTAGAGGAGAAAGGAAAGACCTGGCAAGTAAGCTAGAGGATTCTTTAATTAATATATAGATCATAATCCAATCGATTATAATCCAGAAATCAAATTATAGACGCTTAGGTCCCTTACTTCGGAGCACGTCACATTTACATTTTTAATAAAAATAACAAAAATTATTAAAGTTTATCAACAAAATCTCCATAAAATAAAAAATAAATTTAATTTCCAAAACCCATTTCTTCTTAATGACTTCGTAAATTATATCTATCTGAAAGTTTCCGATCATGGAACATTTTGAAGGCGTTTATCCGCCATCCCTTAATTTGCTGCCAAGTCCAAAAGGGCTTTGTTGCAGAAAACAAAACCGAAACGGTTTTATCGGATATTATGAAAACATCTGCCACACACTAAAGTTTTGTTAAGTGAAATTGCTGCTGCTGTAGCCACCCCTAAATTTTTCAAAGTGTAATTTATCAAATAGCATCTCAAGCTCTACATGACATCCGAAATAAAGGCCTTAAGAGTTTTCAATTTTAAAACGAATATTATAATGATGGCTTATGCTGGAAGATTGGTCTTCTAACCTTGGCATAAAAAATAAAGCTGAAATTTTTTATTTTTTTTTTTGATATAATATTTAATAACAAAATCATTTAAATACACTTTGTGGCTCATTCTTTAACATACTTTAATTAAACGCAATTAACTTGAACTTGAAAATTTGGGGATCATTATGGGATCATAAAAACTACATTCTTAGATAGTTTAGAACAAACATGCAAAAAAAATTCATCCCCATAAACCAAGACCTGATATCTTAATTGTTTCAAGAATTAAAAGGGGTTGACTAGCAAATGGGAAAATTAAATATTTTAATGTATGTAATGTTTTTATTGTTTTTTTGCACTAAGGAATTAAAAATAAAAAGTAATAATACAAAACATGGATGTTTTTTTGACATGATATCAATTGCTGTGTTTAATTTGCGCCTACGTTCTTACTTTTATTATTTAGTTAAACGAATCACTCTCACTCACTTTTTTCATTAGCGACCTCCGATTTCTAAATCACTAGTAGAAAGAACTGTTCGAAAATTTTAAGAAGAGGGAACTCTGAAGGATCTTCCGAGAACAACTCCAGAAAAAACCAAATAAGTATTACTATCTTTTATTCAGGAAACTTCAAGTTCCTTATTAAAAGCGAGTCAGGGACATTAAATTAGTAAAAGTTCTGTTCACAGAATTAAAAAAAAAATAACTATTTTCCCTATAAGTTTCACCTAGTTCAGGAATTGAACGAAGGTGACTTTGATAGAATATTGAAATTTTGTGAAATAGTACGTAAAAGATGTGAAATTTCGAATGTTGTTTTTTTTTTGTTGAGGCTTCTGATGAGGCTGCTTTCTACTTAAATAATAAGCACAATTGTCGTTATTGGGCTGATGAAAATCCACGTCTTATAAGAGAAGATCAAACTCAGAGACCGCAGAAAATTAATGTATGGGCTGGTATTATGGGATTGAATGTAATTGGTCCATTTATTATTAATGGAAATTTGGACGGAGATGGATATCTCCAACTGTTTAGTTGCGCAGTCCGAATTTTTATGCCGCACGTTTCCAAACCGTTGGATTGGTAGAAGAGGTGGAATTGAGTGGCCACCACGATCTCCTGATTCAACTGAAAAAAGCGTATAAAACAAAATCAGAATCAATAAATGATTTGGAAGATCGCATACTTGAAGAAACCACCAATATCACTAGAAATATGCTTCTAAAACATTGTTATAAAAATCGTAATAAACGTGCAAAAAACATTAAAACATTTTATTTTCCCACTTGGTAGTCAACCCCTCATAACACTTGAAATAAATAAGACATCAGGTTTTCGTTTATGGGAATGTGTTTCTTTTTTCATTGCCTTTAAAATAAGGTGAAATTCGACAGGGGTGCTATTTAAAATGTTGGTGGTCATCCCCTTAAAAAACTCCACGTTGCATGGAAGTTCTAAATTATCTAAGAATGTAGTTTTTATGATCCTATATTGATCCCCAAATTTTCAATTTTTTTTCACTCCTTTAAAAGTTATAGCTCCTTCCCTGGACATTTGGGAAGCCCTATATACATTGTATTTAGATATTATTCCTAATATTATATTATGGATGAAAATATAAGTTCATCTAATACAAATTTCCTACTTTTTAACTTAAAATAAAATTAATTAGGTACATTTTATTGTTTTTTTAGTTCTTTTCTTCTTCTTTTCGATTCTTTTAAATGAATCAATATGTCAGGCAATGCAATAGTATTCCAAATTCCATGTCAAGTCTCATATATATATATATATATATATATATATATAAAGTCGTTTGCATTTCATTAATAATTATTCTAATATTATTTGTGTTCTAGAAGTACAGAAGTGTTGATTGCAGCACCAGCACGACCGTTATTTACTTATTTTTTTTTTTATTAAAACAAAACATTTTGTAAGCGCTGTGGAATCGCGTTATTCTCCATAATAGTTTGGGGGAACAAACAGTAAAAATTTACAAAATATTATATTGAAATAAATTGACCACTACGCGAAGTTTAAAAAATGTGTTGCCTGTAGGGGTATACCACAAATTTTTACTAATGTAATAATATAGAAGTATTATATACAATATTGTATATCAAAATTCATTAAATTCCATTGGGAAACAAGTATGAAAAATTTAAAAAAGTTTAAAAAAATGTGAAGGTGGTGCGTTATTTTATTGGCTTAGTTTAGTGGAAAAATATAATTAAAAATACCTCGATAATCGATTTTTTCCTAAATATCTTTTCCCTCGTTTAAAAAAAAAACTTTTAACCAGAGATCATTCTATTTTAATTAAGGAAAATGAATTCTGTGTCGACGTTTAAAAATTGAAGCAATGAACTTGGAAAGTGGCAAGCTAAAAATACAAAAGAACGGGAATCGATAATTTGTAGGAAAAGTTGTTAAACTAGGGGATGAATGAGAATAAGATCCGGTTTGATTTGCAGCCTCGGAAGTTCCGGAACATTTTTATGAATTACTTATTGGATTTTATTCAAATTAATTTTGGATTGCGAATTAATAACTGTCAAATTAAAACTCAGTTAATTTATTTTTGTTTTTGTGAATATTCCTTTTATTAATAATTCACAAAAGTGATTTAAGTAAGGTTATGCGGTTTTAAACATTTTACATGGATTTAAATTCATTAAAATGAAAGAGATTTACACTGCAACAATGGAGAACTCTTGATGTAAAAGTTTCCTCAAAACAAATGTTTAATTTAAGTTTCAACTTATCTGTGCAACTGACAAGTCTTCAAAATTTCAAATGTTTCCATACATATCTGTATCGTGCTCGTCGAGTAAATTTTATGTTGGTGTATGGGTCCACACTATAAGATATGTTAGGTTATAATATTTCTTAAATGCTAAATCCCAAAGGATTGTGTTTTTATGCGTATAACGCAGTTAATATGCATAATAATTTATTATGTATAATATTTCTTCAAAGAATACTAGTGCTAAAATTACATATTTCGACTATTGTGATGTTTTTTTTCTGTTATGGCTGATGTTTAAGATTTCGTTTATAATCTTTACCACAAAGTGTTTTAAACAAATTACCTATGTAATTTTAAACATACAAAAACTTCCAAATTGGTTTTATGCTAGAGCATAGAGCACAGAGTTGTCCTTGATTAACTTTTATTTTTATTAATATTATTAATATTATCATTATTATTTCGCCCAATTAATAAAAAAAATTTAAATTTTGTATCCAGCTGTTTTTCATACTACGATAGTTATGTTAGTTGAAATGAGCGATAGTAGTTACAGGTTAGAGATACAATTTTTTTATTAACTCAAACAAATAGACACAAAAGTCAAACAACACAAATTAACACTATGGACCAATGAATTCTAATTAAAAGTAATTGTTCAAAGTGCCCATAATTAGCCTAAATACAGGCCTAAATAATATCAGAATATTATTCATTCGAAAATTGAACAATTTTTGAAAACGATAATAATATTTCAGCAATTTCAAAGTATTTAAATAGATTTTAAATTTAATTATTTAGATTTAAACTTATGCATCAATTGTCAAAAAATGCTTATTATGGTGCTATAAAGTAGGAAATTTAAGCCTTATTTAAACTTAAATAACTTAGAAACAAAGAAACATTTTAAAGAATTTTATTCTAAATTTTGTGTTTTAAAATAAATTTGTCATATTAGCGATAGAAACTTTACTGATGAGAATGTTTTATAGGGAATTTAATACTTCTGAATGAACACAAGTCATTTATATACCAAGTTTCTGGAAAAAATAATGAAAGAAAAAACATTTTCTTTGTGAAGAAATATTATAAAATTTATTTTTTATTTTATTATAGAGTTAAAATTTTGAACATAATCTAATGAATTTTCATGTTTCTGTAATATAAATAGGTCCTATATATATCGCACATGGGCGACAACAGTGTGATAAGTAGTAAAACCATAATTCCGAGATTAGTTAATGTAAAAGATTTTTGAATAATAAAATTCTGACATTTTTGTAAAATTATATTAACTTACACTGTAAGTTAATATAATTTTACAAAAATGTCAGAATTTTATTATTTAAAAATGTTTTACGTTAACTTATCTCGGAATTATGGTTTTACTACTTATGACACTGTTGTCGCCCATGTGCGATATGTATATTAAAAAAACTTGTTATTTATTTCCATACCAATTGCACCAGTAAGTTTAATTAGCTTCACCAGTATTTTTTTTTAACTTAACACACTTTTCCTTTTTCCAGCGTGTAAGTGTAAGTTGTTTACTTTTTTTAAATTAATCTCAATGCAATATCCATTAGTAACAAAATTTTTACTGGCGAAACATTACTCTGACTATTACGTTCTTCAAGGCATATCCTATACTTAAATTTCTTGCAATATTTTATTGTAACATTTCGTAAAACGCACCCTTAAAGTAATAAACATAGTAATGTTCCTAATTAATTTTTAATCAAAGGAGATACTATTAAAGGCGTTTTCTAAACAGTTTTGGCGTGTTATCCTCTGGGCCATCGGTGAAACTGATAATTAACTTAAATGAAAACCGAGACCCGTGCTTTTTCTAGTTAAGAACAGGAAGAGATATAAAGTCCTTCGTTCGCTTTTTGATAAAAATCTGACGCCTCCTTTACCCCATAATCCTTAAGTTAATCTGCGAAAATAATTTTGCGAAGGTTCTTCCTCAAGTTGCGACGCTTTTGTGTATTAAATTACTACGCCTAAGATGCAAGATGTCAAAAGGCAAAAAATACTGACGTTAGGGTGTAGCACAATGAATTGAAAACTGTATCTAAGATTAATGGCATTTTTTGCTTGAAGAGGGTCTCTTTTTGTTTTAAGGTTACATTAATCTTTTTTTATTATTATCGTAAAAATGATTTTATATTACCAAATATTAATTTAAATGTTTTTATAGATATGGAGAAGAAAAAGCAACGAACTTGCATTCAAGTGGGGTACCATTGGTATGACCAGTATGGATGAACCGAGGCCCAATTTTCGAGGTACTATGGGTGTGGATGCTGTTACTGGAAAAATACAACCCCAGCATCCTAGATATATAACGACCGTAAAGGTAAGTTATGCACTACAATATTAAATCTTACAGGGTACAAAAAATTACATTTTTAATTAATTCTCACATTTCATCGTATGCAGCTCATTTATTAATTAAGACATTACGTTAATTTTGTGGGTAGTATATCATTTTTAAAAACTAATAAAAAAAATACAAACGTAGAAAAATCCCCACACATTGTAAATTTAGGCATATTAATACCTGATTTGTTTATATGAAGGTATACAAAACAAAAATATGAATATGATCTTATTTTATTTAATTTAAAACAATCAGTGTTCTTTAAATTGTATCCTTTGTGGACCTGTGTACATGTTAAAGAAAAACTGCAAAAAAAAAATAAAATACATATAGGGTGTCTCAACAAAAACTGCCACCATATCCTTAAAATCTTCTGTTGAAAGGTCTTTTAATTCTCTAAATAATTCTCTTATTTTTATAAAAAAAACGCATTTTAATGGAAGCAACTAGTAATTGTTATGTAAAAACAAGATAAGTAAAATCGTTTATGATTTTGTATAAAAGATTTTGTTCTTGAGAACCTGTCCCTATTGCAATTACATGTAATCTACCACATATGGCAAAATTGTTATTTTTGGTCACCATTTTTTTATCAACTTAATAAAAAAATAATAATTGTTTGCGATTCATATGGTAGGTAATGTGATTTACAACAAAACCATTTTATATTGTTTCCGAAACAGGTTTTTCAAAATTTATTTATCGATTACCCTTTAAAGATATAGGCCATTGACAGTTTTCGGTGGGACACACTGTATATAGAGAATGTATATTATGTTGGTCGTTAAAAATTGAATTTTTTGTAATTTTTTGGTATAATCATGTTTTTTGGGAATTTTTTATAAAAAATAAAATTTTATACGAACTATTAACAATTATAGAACCCAAATCAATAAAAAACAATAGTTAATCGAATTCTTACAATAATGTTAACAATAGACAAAAATTTAAATTCAAATTTTTCCCAGTTGATTTGGTCTATTAAATTGATATTTTTATTTTAAAACTAAATTAGTACAAACATAATTTTAATATCTAGATTTCTTCACTATAGTGTATACAATTGTTATTTCATTGTTAATAATTTTTAAATCTCAAAAAAAATATTATTCCATATTTTTAGAAAAGACATGATTATACCAAAAAATTAAATTTATTTTTTTTCTTATCTGGTAAAAAAATGTTTTTATTTAGCAAATCAGAAGTAGAAACACAATTTAAAAAAATAATTTTAACATTTATTTTAACTTTCCTAATTCATGTTTTTAATTATAAATTACATTTTTTTTCTTAAAAAATAATTAAAATTATTTTTTATTATAATTATTAAAACTTATTTTAGATGTACTGTGTTTCAATACCAATAGTCTTTATTTGCATGGTGGGAGCTTTCATCGTGATGTTGGCTTCATTTTGGGCTGAAGATTACATTAAAATGTCTGACGAATATTACCAACAATTTATTATGCTGCCAAGTATTATTTATTCGGTTTTAGTTTGGGCGCTTAATTTATATTACCGAAAACTAGCAACGTATTTAACGGAATGGGGTAAGTAATTTTAGTTGATCGAAAAAGTTGCGTTATTGATAAATGTTAATATAGACTGGATGAAAATCTAAATTGCTTTGAACCGGTTCAGTTAACATAATTAGATTGTCATGATGCTGATTCAATAGAATTGGAAATAGACTTTTTAAATTATTGGATCGGATTTAAATTGAACCGTAAATAACATAAAAAAGCTGTCTATTATTCGCGTATTTCAGTACATTTACCTTTGTTTGATAGCATACGTCTTAGATCAAGGCGACAAGAAATAAAATTTACATTGTAAATGTTGTTTAGCATAAACAAGGAAACGACAAACAAAGAAAATAAAACTTAGATTAGGCAACCCCTGCCTTTTACTTTGTAACAAGTCATTAATTAAATCCCTAATTAGCGTCGCCGAAAATTTACTACTGCAATTCATTATAAACTAATTTAATTGCATTGTTTTGATAGCCGTTGTTCTTTATTGTTGATAGAAAATCACCGTACTCAATCTCAATACGACAGACATCGCGTCACAAAATTGGTCCTGTTCGAATTCGTTAATAACTTTATGTCTCTGTTCTACATCGCATTCATTATAAGGGACATGGACATGCTTAAGAGTCAGCTGCAGACCATGCTGATCATATCGCAGATGATCTGTAACTTGCAGGAAACCGTTCTACCTTTGGCAATGAAATATATGAGCTACAGGGTAAGGAATGAAACTCATTTTGTTTTAAGTATACTACTGTATTTAAAAATTAAAGTACTTTTATTTCCACCTTCTTAGTAAATGAAATTAAAATTTTCAATTTGAAAATCACCATGTGAAGGTGAAAATAAAAGTTTGTAAGTGTCACGCTTTGCAATTAATTTTTACTGGGCTTACTGGATTATGGGGTTTGCTCCTTCTTTGCTTACCGCGCAAACTTCCAGCTCGCCCATAAAGATTAATTTACAAAGCTTGGCACGTAAATAAATAACCATTAACAGGATAACATAACAAAGATATTATCATCGTCATGATTTAATTTTTTATACGATTTTTTTATTTTTATCCAAAAAGGAGCAGGCGTTGACAAATAAAATATCAAAATTTAAACAAAATTTATAAAACTTTTTATAGCGAAATAACTTGTTTATTATTTAAAGTTACAAATAATGAAACTATTTTAAGGTTGGTTTTAAATCCAGAGCCTCAAAATAGTACATTATCTAACAGGCGGAAAATGCGCTTATTTAAAGCCGATACCAGTGTTCGCAGCGAGGCAGTTAATATGCTTTCTCCGCCGTGTTGTATATACTATTTCTTTTTTAAACCTTTTCTTTGCTGATTTCGAGATAACCACTCTTCCTATGTAATTTTAATATTAAAGTGTTAATAAAAACTAGATACAGAGCGATAAATGTGAGATATTATTTTGAAAAAATGAATAAATTTATTGAACCAATAAGATTACATAAATCCATAAAGGTTACAGTTACAGTTTTTTTCTAAATTAATTTGGTTTTTTTAAAAGCAGCAGGTATAGTTTTTAAGGACGACAATTTTTTTTTTGATAATTTTAAATGGTAGGTACTCCTGTGGGGTGCTAATGACAGTTCTATTTGGGTGAATCACAACTTACTTTTTTTTTTAACTCAACCTATGTTATTAGCGCCCTCTAGTAGTACCATTAAAAATTATCACAAATTTGTATTTATCAGGCTTAAAAACTATACTATGCAAATTTTGAGTTTGATACATTAATTTGTTTTCCAAATATTACAAATTTTCAAAAAATTATCCGATTCGTGTCTCGGTTATTATTAACATTTTATTAAGGCATACCTATTTGTGTTAATTGACCTATTTAGATCTCCTATTTCTACAGTTGATGTATTGCTATTATTGTCCATTAATTATGAGACACTCTGTATATAAAACAAATGATCCTTTGTTTGTCCCGTTTTCGTCTTATTCCCGTCCTGTCCCGTTCCTATCCTGTTCCAAGACCTAAAACATCTTCACATCAAATTTCATCAAATTCCGTTCAGCCGTTAAAAACTTTCAAAAATGGCGAAAGCGCCAGGATTAATTTTAACTGAATTTTGTCCCTTAGGGATTAAATTTTACATACAAATTTCTTAGCGGTTATCCATGTCATTATAGAAATGCAATCTCAATTTTAGCGGTTTAGTTTCAGCGGTATGGTCTGGGCGTTGATAAAACAGTCAGGACATGTAATTTTATATGACATATATATATATATATATATATGCTCCGTGTTTTTGGTTTTTGGTTTTTAAAAGAACCGTATGTCTGTCGACGTTCCGGTACAATCTCATGTACCATCTTCAGGTCTTATCTGCTGGGCTGCTCTGCTACGAGTTAGACTTGTAACTCGTAGCAGAGTAGCAACAGCAGCTCATATATATATTTTTTTTCAAATCCTAAAATAAATCAGAATAATAAGATTGTTTGTAAAAAAAAAAACAATAATAAAAATCATCCTAGTATTAATCTCTATTAATTTTAAAAAGCATTGTAATGTATAATATGTTTTTGTTTAGATGATGTCTTATAAAAACAAAAAGTTAACCGATCATAAGTCTTCAAAATCTAAAATTACCAGAAGCGAAGCTTTCGATGAAACCAAATCAATGTTTAATTTACCACAAATCCAATACGATGATTCTCGTATTCGGCAAGTTAATCAAGAATGTATCATGGAGGAATACGAGGGAACATTCGATGATTATCTGGAGCTCTTTATACAATTTGGATTCGTATTTCTGTTTTCTTCAGTTTACCCATTGGCAGCTTTATGGGCTGTCATTAACAATGTTATAGAGATTAGAGCGGATGCTTTTAAGTTGTGCAGGATTTTCCAAAGGCCTATGAGCAGGAGAGTAAAGGACATAGGCGCTTGGCAGGTAAGAAATAGATGGAATGTATTTAAGGGTAAAAGTAACCAAAATAAAATAAAATATATTTTTTTAAATTATATAATTTAAGGTTTATTATTATTTATTAAAATATTAATGGCTTAGAGAAATACTAATACCTACTGAATCTGATGTCATGGAGAACGGTTCCACCAAGTGACTGAAGGTTAAGCAATAGCTTATAAATATTATCTATTTGACGTATACCGAGATAAACTTAACAACATAACACTTAAGGCAAAATAATTTAATAAATAATCAAAATATTAACAAATATTAACAAAACAATTTTATTACGCAATTATTTGTGAATCATAGACGTCCTGGAGCAAAATGAGTGGCATTTTTGAAATCAGCATACAACAATTAGGTAATACAAAAGACTACCTGAGCTTATATACTGCCCAAGTAAGCCAACAGAGGCGAGATGTAAGAACATCACGTGATCCACACCGTCTAAAGACGTAGCCTTTGCCACAATCGGTACATACTATGCAACCAAGATCGCACGTAACTCTAAGCTAAGCGTTACTAAGGCTCGTATACTTTGACTTTACTTGGTAGGGCACGAATTGGCCATGCACCCAGCTCTACCTTGCATTATTTTTATTGCTACATACCTAAGTTTTAAAAATTAGAGTTTGGGTTAGGGAGATTGTTTTTACAATTTATACTGTATTCTTGGTGTTTTCTTTTTACCGTGCAGATTGGTCGTTCTTTACTAGAGATATAGCCCAAATGGCCTTTATATATAAAATTTATATCTCGAAAACCTATACGTACAATTTTTTTTTTAGTAACAAATTTTGCATCCCCAACATTTTGGCTGGTGATCAAATAATAATTATTTTACACTGGAAATTTTTTTAAGTAAATAAAACTAAATTAAATGACAGTTGAAAAAAAAATGTTAATGTTTTTTAAATTTAGTAATAAATGTATTAATTTTGCAAACCCAAATTTACATAATTGTAGTTATCAAGTAATTGTGATAAATTTTCCTATTTAAAGAAAAATTGTATCGGAATCATATTTGCTTTCTAGATAATTTTGATATGACCCTTAAGCTTAAAATAAACATAATATATTCAGAGTAAGTATATATTTAGGGATATCTGGCTTCCTCTAAGCCTAATTCGTTATTCTGCCTCTGCGTTGAAGTAATACTTTAAGACCGGATATCGAATAAAGTGCAGTAATCCTGCTGCATGGCAGGATATAGGAATATGAATAATGCACTCTTGACATTCGCCAATACCAAACACTATCTGTATATTCATAAAGGACTCTTGTGAGTGCTGCATTTTTAGGTTGTCTGTTGCAAAAATTGCATTAGGAATATTTGGTTTCAAAGTAAATATTTGCCACAACATTTCTGCTAAGATTAAATCGTTAAAAAAAGAGATAATAATTCAAAACCTTGTTTAAAACTTTTGGAAAGCTCTTTTGAATGCGTCTTTTTTATAAGGATTTTACCTGTTCTGCGAACATTGTTCTGCAGCCATAAATTCTCTTGGCAAGATCTTAATCACGCAATTTTAACATCGCTCGGGAGTGTTTTTAACTTTGCAAGGATGTTTCGAAGTGCTTTGCGTCCTGTCCATCCTGACAAATTACGCCATGGTACTTTTTAGTTTCGAAATATGGCAAAGACCACTTCTCAAGCTTATAAAAAACATATACTGCATTTTTAACGCGTAAGTTTAACTTTTAATATTTATTACTACATTTTATATACATATACAATTTATATCGTACATATACCCTGCCGTGCTAAGCACAAAGGTGGTAACTACAATATTAGGTTATAAGGCAGAAAAGATAATATTAATTGTTTAAAAACAATTGGGCAGTAAAGTGTAGCGATGATTTTAAATACTTCTAGATAAACAGCGATTTGAATAATAATAAAAAATAATGTCAAACGTCAATTTTCCAAAAGCTTTAAATACTTAAAAAGGCATTTTTGGATTAGACAAGGTAGATATTTATCTACTTTATCTATTTTAAAATCATTAGCTTTGTTTTTTAAAACCTCTTGTGTTTGTTAACAGGTTACCATATATTTTTGTTACTAATAAAATTGTCTGAATCATTTATAAAGCACTAATATAACTGTAATATTTTAGTTCTTTACTTAGTTTATGCATTATACAATTTTGAAAAATTTGTAATGTCCATGAGGGTAGAAAAAAAACATAAATTTGGTAACAAGTGTAATTAAAGTAAAAAATAATCATAAGAACCACTTTATTATTATAAAAAATAAAAACATTTTATATTTTAGAAATAAAAAAAGCTAAACGTTACTATGCAAACTTGTTAAAATATAAATTTCATAAAATGAAATTAATAAAAAATTCAAAAGCGCAGCTCAAGTTAGTATTTTAGTATCAATTTGGTTGAGTTAAATTTAACAATTTTCCATAGATAACGTTAGGCTATGTTTATAAATAAATATGTACGGCAAGTGGTATAATTATTTAACTTCCTTGAGTCAAAATATTGCCCGGAAGTTGTCCTAAATTCATGAACTTTACCCGTAAGTGGAGAATTTTAAAATACTTTTTTTGTGCAAAAAACTCGTACACAAAATTTAACTGTTATTTTTAGAAAGACAATTAACGTAATATCACCAAAATATAATATATATCACCAACAGCATACTTAATGAACTTTGTTAAAAATGGCTATTGGCATTAAAATAAAGCCCAAACCCTTTAAAAACTTTTCTGAAATGGGAAGCAACTAATCTGGGATAATTTGGCTAACAATTATTGCTTCAGGGCCTCAATACAAGGTTAAGAGCAGACTCGTGCCTCTAAAATGGGAATGTTTTCTTTTAAATACACATTGTGTATACCTATATAAAATTTTTTAAATAAGCGGATTTATAAAAAACCAAACACGTATATAATTGTGAGTAACAATTTGTTACACAAATATTTTTTAAATGAAATTTGTGTAGTAACCAAATTTGCCACCTGGGTGATTTTAACCCATAAGCTTTCCCCATTTCAATAAATCCTGATTATGTTTATTTAGATTTTATTCTGCCAAAATAATATTTTTAATGACGCTTTTACACGTTTTAAAATACAATACAATTAAGGTAGTTAACAACGTTCTTATTTTTAAATAACAGTAAATTACTTCACATTTTCCGTTAAAGTTTTTCCTTTAAAATGCAATTTAAACATCTTTTTTAACCACCATTATTCTTCCTTAATTAAGATACAACATCTTAATCCTGCAATTTAAAGCAGCTTAAAATTTGTTTTTGCCTCCATAGAGATTTTATGAGGTGCTTAGCTTCCAATTTATTTGAAAGAGTTTTTAATTCCAGTGTTTTATTATGAGAAAGAATAAAACAGAAATAAAATTTAAAATTGCATTGAAACACTCCTTGATTTTAGATTGTTAACTTATTGAATGACTTTTAACTTAAACATAAAAGATAATTCCCTGCCTTAAAAACATTTTTACTTTTATTTTTAGAGATGTTTTGAAGTCCTCAGCGCTTTATCAATTTTAACCAATTGCGGAGTATTATATCTTAGTCCGCAAATGAGAAGTCAAGCTCCCTATCTGGATGAAGTTAAATGGCTGCTAATTTTTGTATTTTTGGAACATCTACTGCTAGGTATTAGGTATCTTTTGCACATTACCATTTCGGACAAGCCCGAATGGGTCAGAGTGGCCTTAGCTAGGAAGAATTACGAGTCAAAACAGGCCTTAAAGTTTGAGGTAAGTTTTTTAAATAAATATACTCGTAGTTATTACTGGTATATTAAAACATCGTTGACAATACCTTCCATATTTTATTCAATTTATAAAGGGTCATATAATAATGATATCCCATGATGGTTAAGTTCCTTGCAACACTCATATCATTGGAGTCAGTTCTACTGAACAACTATGGATAATTACAGTGTTATTTTTTTTTAATTAAAATAGTCGTTTTATCAGTCAAACTTGCGTCTTAATTATTTAACAGAGAGAAAATTTCGATGTTGAATGGCACAATTTAAAGCGACAGGGACAGTTTTATTTATTAAAAAACACCGAGAAAGAATCATTGGAACATATTTTTTTTTAATTAGCAAGGGGATGTCGCTAATGGCAGGTTTGATGGTATTAATATTATTAACTTTTGGTTTTGATTCCCAGGTTTATAGGTCAAAAACTGATTATAACATGAAAAAAATAAAAATTTAATCAAATTAAAGAATCATATAAACTCGATTTGGTTAAGAAATTATAAATGCGCGACCTAATTTCGGTCTTTTTTAATATCAGGAATATTTTAAGGAATTTTTCGTCAAATATAAAAGTATTCATTCGAAATTCGAATTTCGAAAACATATAAATTCTGCAAATATTTTTATACATACACTGTTAAAAATAATTCTTAATAATAAAAATTTTTTACTATTAAAAAGTTTTGTAAAATTACAAATCTTAGTTTCAAGAATGACAATTATACTGTACCGAATCAGGATATTTACATAATTGTATTGTATTCTTAGTATTTTTGTTGTAAATTTACAAAATTAACCTGTAAAAAGTTACACAATTAGGTATAAAACTTCCTATATTTTCATTGTAAAGTTCAGATAGAATGTTTACCAGTGTAGGGTGTTCTAATTTGCCTCATGTTCTAATTTTAATTATGTCGTCCCCCATTTATTTTCAAATAAAAAAAATTGAGCCCAAGTTGAATGTCCCAACTTGATTCTAACTATTAGCTGTACACTGTTAAGAATTTCTATCTCTACTTACAATAAAATATAGTTATATGCCTAGTTGTATACGTTTTTTACAAGTGGATCTTGTAAATTTACAACCAAAATACCAGTAGTACTGTATTTTTTACAGGTTGATCTTCTTAATTTACAACAAAAATACTAAGAATACAATAACTATGTAAATATCCTGATTCAGTATAGTAGTAGATTTGTAATTTCACTATACTTTTTCATAGAAAACATTTAGTGAATTTACCATTATTTTAAAGATTAGTAAGTACTAAAACAAAGGAAAAAATAATGTTATATATTGACAGGGATTTATGGTATTTTAAGGCATTTTTGCTTTTTAAATTAATTGAAAATTGTAAAAAAGTGTTGTCTAAAAATATAATATGAAGAATTTTAGGTTCCAAAGAAGTCATCAAAGAAATTGTTACAATCATCCGGTTTTAATGAAAAAGTGTTTAGTTTACTTTGAAATATATTTAAGTATATATAATAATAAGTATGTAAGTAAACCTTTAAAAGTGCAAAAATAATGTTACATAACTTCTTATTTACTATTATTGCATAATATTAGGTTTTTGATTAGTTGTGATTGGCCGATTTCAATATTCACTGTGATTTTAATCAATTTGGTTTAAAATTGAGAGAAGGCGATTACAATAATATTAAAAATTGGTAGAAAGTGAGGTTAACCATATGACAGATGTTAGATTTTATTTATTTATTGCATATCATTGGGGTTTTTTCGTGAATAATGATAAACATTATAAATTCCCTGTCTAACAACGTGAATAATGAACTCATTATTCACGTTGTTAGGCATCAGTGATTGGCCGATTTCAATATTCACTGTGATTTGAACCAATAGGGTTTTAAATTGGGAGAAGGCGACTATGAAAACATTTCAAATTAGTAAAAAGTGAGGCTAACCATTTGACAGATGTCAGATTTTATTTATATTTTAAAAGTTATTTAATTATCTACTTATTGAAGTAGATAAAGTATAGTTTTGCACTCGATATTATGCACATTATTCACTCGGATGATTTAAGTCTCTCGTCTGGCGACCCGAAACGCAAACTTAATCCTCGTGAAAAAAAGCCAACATTATCTCTCGTATAATAATATACTATTATTTTTTAAAATCATTTAGTTATTTACTAATTGAAGTACATAATGTATAGTATTACAATTTAGATTATGGGCAGTATTCACTGGAATGATTATAATAATATATTATTTAATATAATTAGGTTTAAATTCAAAACAAACTTAATAAAAAATAAATAGTCTGAAATAAATATAAAAATATACGAATATTGCAAATATCCCTGTAAAGTTGTTCACTTTAAAATACACAACCCACTTTTGTCAGTTTTCGAGGTAAAAACGTCCTTACCACATATTTCCTCTTAACGATATTCGACTTGTCTAGAAAAGGTCAGAATGGCCTCTGCTGGAGAAGAATTACGAGTCAAAGCAGGCGTTGAAATTTGAGGTGAGCGCGAGTCTTTTTGTCGTTTGTTGGACCCTAGTTGACATTCCGCACGGGTTTACGGTATTATGTTCTCGAAATACCAGCCAGTGTTTATATGTTTGTAATTGGCCTGCAAAAAATTGCTACATGCGAGCGTGTTCGGTCAATTTTCGGTTTCAAGAATCACGATTTTGGTTTATTTGCTTAAATTGTATAGAAATCTAAAAACAATGAATTATTTAGGGCCTCAGAGTCCCGAAATTTAAATAACAAATTATGAATAATGATAATAATAAAGTACTATACATTTCAAATATTTCTATAGAATATAATAAGGATCAGACTATATCCCAAAAACGCTTTCTTTTTATTATAAAGGCTGTTTTTTAAGTGCCAATAAATAACAAGGAAATCTATATCCTATAGAAATTAAGTTTAAATAAAAATCCAAGAATGTTTTTCACGCATATAGCCTTTCCGGCTCTTTTTTTTTACCATTTTTTGGAGTATTTAAGGCTTTATCTTACCAATAACGCGTTAAATATTGGGTATAAGGTTTTGTATACAAGAAGTACTAGAGTGGCGTTAAATTTCACGGTCTCGGTGGCCAAAGACCTAGTCCATTTTGAAACATTAAAAACTTCGATAAAATAAACCATTTCCGATATATTCGAGATTTCAATAATTGTTATATCGCATTAAAGGACTAAAAGGTATTTTTTGATAACAAATTTTTAATTGAAAAAACTACAATTTTTTTAATGTGACGGTCAGGGCAAAACGTTTCGAGGCTCATGGAATGCCTTTTTTAGTTTTTTCAATTAAATAATAAAATTTGTTATCATATACCTTTTAATCCTTTTAAATAATGCGATATAACAATAATTATTATTGTAATCTCGAATATCTCGGAAACGGTTTATTTTATCGAAATGGTAGCCGAACTGTGTAATCAAAAAATTGCATCAAATGTTATAAAAACATAACCTCAAAGTTTGTATGGGACAATAAGCTTAAACCAACCCCCGTTTCTACGACACTGTGTTCACTCAAACAATTATAATTATGTGTGAATATGTGTTTTGGTAGTAAATATCACCTTTCCAAGACTTCCATAGCAGAAGATATATTAAAAAAACTGATATGATAAGTAACACTTTATCACCCTGTATCTTGGAAACATAAGTAATTAGGAAAAATATTTATTTAGGTTTTCGACTTATTTTTACTTGCTCAATCTTTTCCTAAATTTATGCCAATAAGTTTAGGGACACCTTGTATATTATACATACTTTTAAATAGAAGAATAGATGTAAATTCAAACTAAAACTAGAAAACTTTAAATTGTTTTAAGTTTATTAGGCTTTTTAAGTGTAAAATTCTACTTAATAAAAACTACTTAAAAAATTGTTGATTGTTTCGACCTTTACTTGATGAAACTCCAAGTTATTAAAAACAACACTGTTTTAAAGTTTCACTATTTTATTTATGTTTTTTAAATGATTAACCGTTGTTTCGCTAATTCTGAAGAAGCTACTGTGTAGCGAAACAATTGTTAATCATTAAAAAAACATAAATAAAATAGTGAAACTTTAAAACAGTGTTTTTATTCATATATTAACTACTGAAAAAGTTTCAATGTCAGAATATTAGTATATTCTGAAACTCCCAAAACTTTAACGATACACTGTATATGAAATTTTGAGAAGTTTGATAATCAATTTGTGCAAACTTAGTTTTCATCGAATTTGATTTCAATAACTGGCTGCTTAACCAGTCAATCTAGTTGGCTGTTTATTTCCCATCGAGATACGTCGGCCGCAAATAGATTCGAAATGAGAAGAGACGCTCGCCGAATCGAATCGCAAACGTAACGTAATCGGATTTTAGACACATCGAATGAATTTTCCAAGACACATTAGCGAAATTTGTCGCGCCCGGAACTTATTATTTATTTACGATATTTGTTCGGATTCCCATCAGGGCATCTTCAATTCCAGGGACCAAGCAGAACCGGGCTTTAAAATAAGCCATTTGAATTAATTATTACTTAATTAAGCTCCCCAGACTCCTGACAACTGACCGTTTAGAATAATTTACTCCCTTGCTTATTTAATTAAATCTACTTCGGCAATAACAAAGTAAATTCAGATTTTCAACAAAGATAGTCGGTATCTCCGCAGCAATTATGGTTGTAACAAAAGAAACCGGTTTAGTCGAGTTCTTTTTTTAAAACAACAATAGCGTTTCAGGAAAGTTTTTGTATGAAAACTTTAAAATTGCGAATTAAAAAAGGAAACTTTTTAAAAGAATGACATCTTCTGTATCTGATTGACGATTAGTTAGCTTTTCTGTTCACAGGATACGGGCATTGTGCTGAAATCAAATTACTTAATCAATAACACAATTTTTTATTTTTCTTGAAATGGTTTTTAATAAATATAATAAAAATAAGTAGCCTATTTATGATACAACAACAAAAACAACATTAATACAGAGTGTAATAGATAATATACTCCAAAGTATTTTTTGAATATTCCCGATTTATCATAGACCAATCAGTCTTCTTTAAAGTTATTATTTAAGCAATTAAATTGATGTTATATTTTTTATAAGGTTATTATATCTACTGGAAATTTTGTTTCTGTTAGCTCGACATTTGTTTTTCTTTGCAAATTGATTTTTGCGCTTGTTTTATTTAAAATAAACCTTACCGTAGTTAAAATTATTATGTAAAATATTCCAAAAGTAATGAATAAAATAATTAATTAAATAACAAATAAATAACTAACTTGTCAAAGTAGATTTGTGTCGATGTTCTTTTAGTATATTAATTTTACCAATTCCATAAAACACAACTAATGCACGCGTCAAGCACGTGGTGATATTGGTCAATTGACCATAAAAGCGTGGCTTCAAAAGTTTGTATTTGGCCAGTTTTCACAATATTGGCCTTAAGTAGAAAACCATTCTTTGAAACTGCATCACGGTTTTTGCCTGACCAAGTATTTTTGGCCCTAGTGGAGTATGATTTTTTACTCCTGATATGACAGTTCTGTAACGCACATAGTTGGCCACGTCCGCTTGGACGGTAAACGGTGGCTGATTACCTCTCACCGTTTTCGCTGTACCTGTTTGCATATACAGTGCTTGCAAATCCAAGTCCGACCGGTTTGGGAAGGACGCGTGAAAATAACAAGGATAGAACGCCAAACAGAAGGCGCTTACAATACGTACGCCTGACGCTCTGACCAATCAAATTCTGTTTGGCATTCTATCCTTATTCTTTTCACGCGGGTATTGAACAACCATCCTTCCCAAAGCGGTCGGACTTGGATTTGCAAGCACTGTATAATGCTCTTGGCAGCGTGTTTCGTGTGGGTTTACGCACCACGGCTATCAGGCACTGGTAAGGTCTAATAAGACTAAAAAAGGCCGAGGGGTAAACCACTGATTTTTTTATTTATTAAAAATCGCTGACGAATTAACGGCTAAGGATAACAATAACAAGGTTAGTCATGCGCAACGCGTCGCTAAGAGAAATTTCTTATTGATAAGCAGTTTTCCTTATTGATAATGGAATAATAAGGAAAAAATCACAACACAACGTCCACATAACGTGATAATAAGATTTTAAAGTGGTTTACCCCTCGAAACAGGCTGTCTATCGGTGCTTGTTTGTGTAGCACGCTCGAAACAAAATAACGGTTACGAGGTATTTGGCCAGCTCATAATATGGGCACCAGTATAAAACATAGATACATTTTTAATGAAATAAAAGAAAACCAACACGCTATTTTTCTTTCCATTTTCGTTCTCATCTAGAATTATGGTTTCTGTTGATAACACGGCTTCACTTTCACTGACATAAGAAATTTCCGTTGAGTTGCTGGTAGATTATTGGTCTCGTTTGGGTTTGCCTTACGCATTTGTTGTTGACAGATTTATTGTCCTACGCCGTGTGCCTTTCTTAGGGTTTTAAAGATATCTGTCGTGTTTAATTTGCAGATTATGTGTTAGGTCATGCGTATGCTTCAGGTTACTTATCAATTTTTTGCGGATGGCCACCTCCCCTCTTGTTTGACCTCCTTTGTTTGTCCAGTGAAAAGCGTCCAATGACAGGTGGCACTTCATTCATCACTTAACACTTCACTCCTCATTGACCGTTGCACCATTTTAGTTTGCACTCTATGAAAATTGTTTGTTTCACTATAATTGGTTTGCACATTTTAAAAATTATTGTTGGTTTTAATCTTTAAACTTTTACGTTTTAAGAGTTCTCGCTCTCGCGTGGTGCCTTCTCAAGTGCTGGAACCTGACTGAACTATGCCTTACTTCCCTTAATATTTATTAATATATTAATATACTTTTGGGATGGCTGGTCTAATTTGTATTTATAAAAATGTTATCCAAAATCTATTAGGAAACCATTTAAAACAACAATTATTGTATCCCTGTGGACTCTGAAATTAATGAAATTTTTCTTTCAAATTATAATTCGTAAAATTCTTTCTATCCAAGGTATTTTTATTATTTCAGAAAACTCAATTTATTTTCTCTTAAAACATAAGTTTCTTTGCACGAAAGAGTGCTTTAGTGTCGAGTATGCAAAATCTTTTATTTTCTTTATTTCTATTTATTTTCGAAACAAAAAGCCTTTCTCAGAGCTTAGTCTTATGCTTGAGGTTTTCGTTAAATGCTTACAATATTGATTTCGTCTGACTATTTTATAAACTTGACATTTCATATCAGATTTCGAAAATGCGATACTTTATTCTAAACGCAACGTTACACTTGTTGCTCCTGTTTGCTTATCTCCGGCGTAATCAACTGCATATGCATCTCAAAAGATATTTGCATTCAAACGTTGGATAGGAATCAAATGCCGAGCTTTATATTTCAAATGTAATCTGGAAATTTCATGTATATTTTGTTTTTGTTACTGAAGGCGGCCAAATCGTTTTAGAAATTCATATTACTTTTTATTTAAATAAATCTCATTTAAATTTATAATTATTAAACTTCACCTATACAGAGTATCCAGAACTTAATTATAATTTTAATATTTTTGGTATTAAAAATAAATTAAAAATATTTTTTAGAAAAACGCCACTGGAACTACATAGTATTAATAAAGAGACTGTTATAATGTGAAAATTATTGTTCGCTTGAAAAAAAATATGTTCTTATGATTTATCCTCGATAATTTTAATAAAACGGAAAGTACGTCAATGTACACTCAAAAAAATATTTAGTAAATTTACACATCTGATCGTTGGTTATTTTGATGCCACGTATTTAAATGTATATGTACAAACATACTGTAAAACTACATATAATGTGTAAAAATGCAAAGGTCATGTAAATGTAAAATTTAGGAAAATAATAGTACAAGTACATTAAAAATTGTAAAAGCACATAAATTTAAGGATTTATTACATAATAATATGAAAAACTACATATTAATTTAAAAAAATACATAAATTGATGCTATTTTACTTATGTAAGTATGTGTGTACATGTTTTATATGGAATAACACATTTCTTAAGTAAAAAAACAGAAATAAATGTGTGTTTGGATGTGTAAAATTTCGTAAATTTTTTTCAGTGTACTATCTTCATCTGATCAATAAGTTACCCAGTCGCTACAAATTTTGTTATTAAACTTAATTTTTATCTTTGTTGGATGATTTACACAATGCAATATTTACGCAAGGCGCGATAAGTTTGGCGGATAGTACTGAGTAGAAATTTACCAAATAAGCCTACGATTTTTGACGTTCAAAGAAAAATTAAAAGTATTTGAAAATAATCTACTCAATATAAAACACGTTATAAAATGTTTTGTTATTAACAACGTGCGATTGAACCTTTCTGCACTGTTTGATTAAAAAATCATTACCTCAAAAACTATTTATAAAAAATTGATGAAAATTTCAGAGGACGTTATAAATGAATGCAATGAGCAATAACCTTCTTATTATCATACTATTCGTCATTGTTGTTCATTTGTTTCATTTTTTAATAAACAAATGCAAATTTTGCCCTGCTCTCCACACGAAATTTAAAAAAACATTTTTTATCAAATTTTAGTTACGTTTAAAATTTAGAACCCATTTTAACTTATGTGATAATTTTATAAGGAAATTTTAAATAGTTTACAAAATAATTTTATTTTATAATTATATTTTACTTACTTTAACAAGATTTTAATCATTTAAAAACTATAAAATCGCCCCATTAAGCCAGTTGAATTAAAATTGGTAGAATCAAGAATAATACCAAAAAAATGTGGTATTAAAATTTCATAGGCTGCAATCTTTTGAGCTTAGCACAAAAGTACTTCTCCTCCTAATGAAATAATCTACTATGCGATATATATACTAATTTTTATTTTTACTATTGCAGAGATCCCAAAGGAATAAAAGACTGCTGACACGAAGGTTTCAAACAATTCATGGACCTCATAGAAATTAATAATTAAAAACTGAAAGTCTGTCCAAGTATTATCTAAGTCATTGTTATAGCAATATTTAGATTTTAAATAAAAAAATCCTTTTATAAATAAATAAAAAATTTTAACATAAATAAGTTTAAGTTAATCCCAATAACATAATGGCAAGTAATTTAAAAAAAGATGTGTATAGTTTTATATCCATACATATGATAACCTTTTCTCTTCCCTCGAAAACCAAAAAATAAAGATTTACCTTTTCTTTTTATTCCAATACTGTTTCAATAAGGCCTCGAAGGGTAGGTAATCCTTTTCATTCGGCTATATATCGACCCAAGTGTATTATTAAAAAGGACGAATAATATTTTATTGAAACATGATCATTTTATATTATGTCGGTTTGCAAGAATATTCGCCAGTTTTCCTTATTATTATTCGATATGATTTACGATTTTTTCGGGAAAATTCATTTTTATATGTTTTAATACTAATATATATTTTTTAAGTGATTCCATAATCTTTCACAATAAAATATTTATTTAAAATACTTATTTACTTAAACTAGGTCAAATTAAAAAAGTTGCTCCTAATATGGTAAAATAAAGAATTATAAGCAATAGAAATAATTTTTAGTTCTTACAATAAAGAGGAAACAGCAAGAGCTTCGATGGTAGAACCTACAAAAAAGTGTTACAAAATCTAGTAATTTACTTAGACTTAGTCATCTAACGTTTTGCACGTAGCAAAAATATTCGACCATAATTATTGATTATTGATTAGTAGTGCATGTATTGGCGTTACTTCAGTTTATTGTTAATGAAAATGGGAAAATTATTATTTATAGTTTTACTTATGGTTTACTTAGTTTATCAAGTTGCAAGTTGTACTGTGTATACATTGTGCCGGCAGAAAAAATATAGGAAAATATGTAACCTTGATTAACAATACAAATATGTTTTCTTTATAGTTTAAAATAAAATGTTATAATCAGTTGAGCTTTGGACTCCATATTTGTAGGTATTTTACATATAATATATATTATACATATTATGTAAAATATGTAAATCTTTAAATTGTTTTATTTAATTACCTAAACATGATGAAAATCGTAATAAATATAAGATGCACAGAATAGTTAAAATAAATAACAAATGCGAAGTGCTTCACAACTCAGAAGGTATTAAGTAGTCCTGAAACCTGGGACACCATATATACTTGAATACGAGTAGTAAGTACTCTATAAAATGAATTATTCAAAAATAACTAATTATAAGTCATACGAGTATTTGACTAATTGTCATAGCGAAAAAGCAGTCACTAATAATTAGTCAAATTCTACTGAATGAAAAAATCAAATTAGTAGATTTAAATTTAAAAAAGTTTTGACCCCGCCGGGGATCGAACTCAGGTCTGTCACTTGTCAAGCTGTTGTCATAACCCATTCGGCTATCAGCCGCTCTTATGAAAATCAATTTTATTTGTCAATAAATATTGTACAAAATATTTTAAAGTTGAATAGGTATATTATTTGTGTTGGTGTTTTGAGCTAAACTTTTTGCATCTTTATTTGTTTTTATGGGTCATTTAACTATGGAGCTTAGGTATATGCATTTAATTCAAATAATACTTTGTTGTTGGCCGCAAACTCTCAGAAATAGTCAAAAATGGAGACTAATCTTAAATCAATCAAACTTTAACTATTTACGTAGTAAAAAATAACTATTTGAAAGTGAAAACGACTATTTTTTTAGTAAAAAATGCTGGTACTAATTTAAATAGTAGAATTTTGACTATTTAATTTTTAGAGAGTAAATTCCTTTTATTTACTATTGTAGTTTAAGTAAATATCAATGTTTGCAATATGGTTCTATTGAATTGAAAATTATTCTGTATTGTTTTCGGTATCCGGTTTCAAAAGTAAACTTCGTTGGACCAGTAGCGGGGAAAAGTTTTGAGCCGACAAAAAATGATAATAAAAGCCGCTACATGTTTTGTGGAGTTTGCCATTTGCCGAAGTTGGTACGGTTTTTGTTTAGCGCATCCGTTCGGATTGCAGTAGTTGGTGACGACTTATCAACTCGCAAAGAAGAAATACATCAGCAGGACTCGGGGTGAATGCGAATCGAGTGCAAAATGGGGTGCATAAAGCAGCAGAAGGGCATTACGGGGTTTTACGGTAACGTTTCTCCTATTTTTCTAAGCCCGTTCCAAAGTTCGCGATCTAATATAAACACGAATAAAGTTAACGACCTTCTTTTTTCAATTCGTTTAAATAAAAAATAACAGTCGAAATGGGAATATCAATTTTCGTCGTCTTTTACCTCAAGTTTTAAAACAAAACTTTTAATCATCGACGTGCCTCAATAAGGGAAAATTTTTGTGGAATTTAATAACCGAATACAACATAATCTAAACCCATTTTTATTAATTTTAGTAAAACATTTATAAATGTATGTCTATTATTAATGATTTATTATTAAACGCAATATAAGTAATTATAATTTTTATAAATAATTATTTGATTTTTTTATTATTTTCTTTATGGTAGTCTGGTGTGATGGGACAAAAAAATAAAATTCAGATTATATGTATTATATGGGTGATTCTACAAAAGTTGGGCAACTTTTGACCTCATTTTGTTTATATAGTTTTCGGAAAAATTAAACAGTATTTTGTTGCAGGAATTTTGAATTTTAAAATTCGGCACAGAACTGACGGGTAAAATTGAGTACAAAGATTATCATTTTTTTTTTAAATTGCTATTATTCGAATCTATGATAAAATATGAAAAATACATTATTTAATGTTTTAAAGTTTGTATTGAAATTGAAAAAATTAAGATAAATTGAATATATTTTAAAATAAAATCACTTAAATATTTGATTCAGGAGTTGTGACACGCCAAGGTACTGATGTTTTGAATATTTATTATGTTTTTCTACAAACTTGCTTTTGAAAAAATACATTAAAATTGGGTGGACAAGTTAAAAAAATCTTCTGTAATATACTAAAATATTTACAAAAAATATTAAAATACCTACTCTATTGACTGATGACATCAAGTTGTCCAACTTTTGAAGAATCACCCATATGTATTATATGTATGCGTTTAAATTTACTTTACATATAAAAAATATTTTCATAGAAAGCAAAAAAAACAATCTGAGTACGGCATTGTAGACAGCACACTAGATTGCGATTGTTTAATTAATTCCAATAAAAACCAGTTTCAATGGGACGTAAATTCGCTAATTTCAAGAAACACCCATTGGATGCGTTTTTGTTAAAACTACATTCAATTTTGTCAAATTGGCAATCCTCACTATCATAAAAATAGTGGACCGATTTACCTGTTTTTTATGTTATTTTCAATACAATTCATTCTCGTTCTTCTTGGAGCAGTAATAGGCCTGGTGGGCGTTTAAATTGTCCAGTGAAGTGAACATTGCTTAGCATCAAAAAATGGACACCCTTTATTTAAAATACATATTTAATTTGAATTAATCGAAATCAAATTTGTCCATTAATATTAATATTAATGTATATAAATATGTTGTGTTCAACTTAAAAATTAAGATTTCGTGAATTTTTCAACAAAGAATCTCAATTATTCTGGTGTATAAAAACAAATTTGTTTTAAATTTAAAAATATCCATAGGCTTAGGTCGGGCACGTTCATCATATTTTAAAGGATATCCGCCCTAGTAAAGCTATGCAGACCTTCTCTTGCCCCGACGTCTCGTCTCGAACAAACTCTATTATATGTAAATATAACAAATATAGAGTATGCATAAGGCCTACAATCTAAATAACCGAGAGCTTTGATAAAATAACAATCCTTAACTGAACTATTTAGAACAAATACAAAACTCGACCGGAATTTTGAAATTTGCCACCATTCTTTAAATACCCAATATTAAAATTGTACTTATAGAAATTAGAAAGAATATACAATTTAATACAAAAATGAATTTATAAATGTTTCACACAAATCTTTTTAAATAGTGTAATTGCTTTTGAAATAGAAATGCATGATTTTTAACCAATAATCAGAATGAGATTTTAAACCAGTACAACAATTTTATTTGTTATGTTTTAATTGGTGTTAAGTATTAGTTAAGCATGAAGTTAAAGAGGTTATGTCATTTATTGAAAGGAGAGAGATAGAAATAAGTCAATCACTTACTAAAAGGTAAGTAAAAATATTAAAAATTTCGGTGTTTTCAAAATTCACAAAATATTTACAATTTTTAAAACCTTCAAAATTACAAACAGTTACTATTGAGTATCTAATAAGTAACCAGTCAGTAACAAAAATGTGTATAAATGTATAACAGCAAATAGTGAAATATGTAAATCAATGATAAGAACACAATTGTGAGTAAATATTTCAGTAATGATGAGTGTTTAGAACTCTCATCATTACTCTAATACTCAACTCCTACCATCTTCTTCAGAAGTATTATATTAATAGTATGCTTATAAAGGTGAGGCTTTTAAATTCAGGTAATTCTACAAACAATCTGAGGATAGGTTATAATTTTATTGTAAATATCCACATACTTACCTATGTTTTTATATAAGATATAATAATAATAATAATAATCGTCTTTATTTTTTAGTAAAATATTACAATAATATTATTAAATACTTTTTCTATTTGTTTGTACGTCTTTTTTATTTTATAGTTTACTAGTTAGTTGTGACCAGTTTTGCAGGTGATAGGATATAAGGATTATTTTAAGTAGACCCAGATACTGAGGAAAGTAATAATATGTATGTTTTTAGGATTACGAAATCACAATAGATCAGTGGCGGCTGGTGTATTTTGGGTATACCAATATCTCATTTATTAGATATGGGCCCCACACCAAATTTATATGAGTTTATAATGAGATTAAATAATCAAGTTCTGCGCAACCAGAATTTAAATTGAAGTTTGCGAAAGTTTGCCCGGCCCCATGGTGCACCCAATAAATATAATATAAATTTCATTGGTGCAATTTATTATTTATTATTATAGTTTATCGACAAATTTAAAATTTAATTAAAAAATCCAAATCAAACAAATTTTATATTATTTTAAATTTTTAT